AAGGTTCTTAGTCAGCGTCCTTCTTGGCGGGTCAAAGCTGCGAAAGTCAATCCCCTATGCGATTCAGTTCTTTTGATATCTGATCATTCGGTTTTTCCGCATGGTAGTTTCTGACTCTCCAATATCTTTGTTAGAGTTCCTGTTTAATTTAATGGTAGTTGTACAATTAAGTTGTGAGGTACTTTTTATGCTAAGAGTTGTTCAGATATGGTTAAAGAGGGACTGAGCTAATTTTGTTTGTTATGATGATAAATTCTCCTTCTGTAATATGTGTGATTGTGTTTTACTTTTTTCTTCCTCTTTTTTAGTTTTGTGTGGTTTTTTTTTGGGCCGCTGAGGGGGGAGTGGGGGGGATGGGGGTTTGCAAACAATTTTTGGTTCATTTACCACACTTGTTTAACATTATTGCTCTCTTCTATTTATTTGAATAACAATAAGAACACTCAACTTAAAAGGGGTTGGTTCAATTTTCTTCTAGTAAGGTCATTGAAGAAACTATCTACTAGTGGCAATCAGTTTTAATTTAATTGTAGATAAGGTCAGGGAATTTTATAGCACGTCAACTGATTGTTTGGCTGCATATTTTGGATTAACTTTCTTAATCATCTGGCTCTTTCCAAAGACTTCTTTGGCCTATATTGAGTTGGATTGCTAACGCAAGCATGTTTGCTCATGAAAAATATCCTTTTTGAAATTGTACTAGATCAATCACCGTTGTTACATTGTACGTTTATCTTTTCAGGTACACTTAAAGGAGAATTTAGCTTATGTGTGGAGATCAAGGTGATTCCATATTTAAGTTTTTGTTACCTTTTGAGTTGTATTAGCTATTCTTGGTGTTAAATGAAGTAATAAATTTGCTTCTATAAAGTAGCCAAAATGTGGATTTCTTCCAACTTCAAAATTCATTGCGGAAGGAAATGCAATTAAAAGAAGTGTCACTCGTTTCAAGATGCATCAGGCTCTAAAGTTACATGATAGGATGGTAAGCTTCCAATCTTCTGGTATTTTAATCCTGAAGTGAAGATAATATCTATCAAGATTTGTTCATCTACCATCTTCAATGAGTGGCTTTTGTAATTCTGCTTGTTTTCTTTGTGGTGTCAACTTATATGTGAGTCTGAATACCAATAAGTCAACATAATTGTAGTCTATCATTTTTTTTCTTGTCTATAATGCATCAGATATCAGAGATAAGCGAGTATGATCCACTAGATATGTTCTCTGGATCCAGAGAGAGAATACACAGAGCGATCAAGGCCTTGTATAACACTCCACAGAACAACTTTAGGGTTTTCTTGAATGGTTCTCTTATATTTGGGGGCTTGGGTGGTGGGACTAAAAGTACTAATTACATGGTTGGTCAAGACTTTGAAGATGCACTTAAGCACGTCATTATGGCTGAAGATGGTATGCGTACAGAGAAACTGCTCGAGCTCATCACTGAGGCACTTTTTAGATCAGGATTGTTGGATCGACTTCTTGAAGTCCAGAAACTTGATGCAATCGACATTGAAGGGGTCATTCATGCATATCATGACATTGTTTCTCAACCTTGTCTGGTATGTAGAAAGATGGATGCTGATGAATTTACAAATAGATATGCTACTTTGCATTCGATGCCAATGGAAGAAAGCTTAAAGATAGTTAGAGACTATTTAATTGCTGCAACTGCAAAAGATTTGAGTATGATGCTTAGTTTCCAACCCCAACAAAGAGGGGATGTGGATTCTCCAAATGGTGCTCTCTTTCTGAAATCAACCAACCAAAGTTTTGACCTCAAGGTGCATAAAATTCTCTATCTCGTGAAATATTTTGCCTTTGCCTACCACAGAGTGTTGAATTTTTTGGAGTTTCTGATGATAGTCACTGTCACTTTGTTTATTGCTTATCTTAAAGTGCTTTCTACAGTTTTGTTCTCAGAGTAAATTGGATCATATATCTCAATTAACATTGTTTTGTCTAGAATCACAGTTGGGACTTGCACTGTTATAGGAATGCAAAAAATTATGTTGCTTGCATATTTAAGGATCTTATGTTGGTAATTCCTGGTTTTGTAATCATTTAACAATTCCTATACCACTGGCATGTTGACAGCATCTTCCACTTTCTCTACAGTAGTTTGCCTAATGTTGCTGACGTGTTAGGAGATCAGTATTCTGCTGATTTAATGAAACTATGACTGATGTCAGTCACTGGCATTTGTGTTGCATCTTGGATTCATTGTTTGATTGTATTTCATAAACCTTCATCTTATGTAGGTATCTTTCATTGACTTGGATATGAAACCTTTTAAAAAGGTGGTGTATTACTATGAGTTAGACCAGCAGATTGTTCATTTCTATGTTCAGATGGTGGAAACAGAGCCGTGGCTTGAGATCACGGCAAGCAATCAGGAAATGCGAGATTCAAATGAGTCCATTCTTCTGTAATTGAAGATGCTTCCTGTACTAAGGCTGTTGCAGGTAACCGATAGTAGTATGAGTTGTTATTTCTCAATGACTAGATGAAACTTTTTTCCTGGGCTTTATGCTACCCCTCGAGTGTTTAAGATGATGCATAATGAAGTCTTTCTTTAGAGTACTTAGTTGTGGGATCCTTGTGAACTATGTTCGGCTTTTCCTATTCTGAATTTCTTGATATGGTAATACTGTACACAAGCGCTTCGTCCAGTTCACTTATTTTTCTCAACCATGTCATGAATTTGAGGCTGTAGTACATTGAATATACAGTCAAAAACAAATGAAAAGCAACTATAGTTGGGTGAGTGCGTGTACTAAATCATAGTCATAATCTTCTTCATTTTGTTCTCTATGCTGAGTTTTGTTCCTGTAATTTAGTTGAAATTGGAAAGTACTCCTAGTAAAATGCCATAGTTTGTTCCTGTAATTTAGTTGAGGTAGGAAAGTACCCCAAGTAAAATGCTGCCACCTAAAGCTATTTGAACAAACTTGTTGAGGAGTCAATAGTTCTTTGAATGCGCTTTAGTGACTGCATTTTGCCTTTGGTTGGATTCTGGTGATGTTAATATGTTAATGATGTTGTTGGTCATAAATGGCTTAATTAGTTGGTTTTTTGAGTTTTTTCAGAGATAGGGGAGTTGTTGAGGAACATATGTTGAAAGAGACATGTCAGAAATTTTCACCCCTCACTGGGAAAGTGATATATCAACTACTCTGTTGCCTTGCCATGCCAAGACCACATGAGCTATTTACTCAACACAGCTGGAGACTGAATTAATCATGATGTACACAATTATGTAAAATGCTGAAAGACAAGAAAGTATCTTTTCTTGACAAGCTGCAAATGAGTGGATATACTCGCATATCTTACTCCAGTGTAATTTATTTTTATCCTTCAAGTTTGAAGGCGAGTCTCACACAGTGTAACAATTTTGCTGTTGTAATTTATTGTTGTAAAATATCCTGAACTCCATGATGGGAGGCTTTTGAACCCGATGTACCTCCATACTTATTTGTAGTGACAGCAAATTGAACTTTTAGTTAAACTCATGGGGGTTGACATGGTGTGCTACTAGTTGTCTAGACCACAAATATGAATGAAAAATGGAAATTTGACTGCTGATTATTGCTTTTCGTATCGTCATAACACATTGGACATGTACATGGGTCTATACTTGTGCAATTGTTATGCGTGGAATTGAGGGTGCGTGAGAGGTAAAGTGGCTTCCAATGACTCTTCACAGGCATTAGGGAAGACACTTTCAGCTTTCAAACAAGTTCGTCTTCAACATTATTGTAGTAGTCACCAGTTCTCTATTCAGTGCTGAGATTAGATGTCCAGGTCCCTATTGCTGGACCATTTTCTGTTTATACACATTTGTATATCCCCTTGACTCCTGCCTGTTTCTGATTATTCAAATTTCATGACTCTAGCGAGTTGAACTGGTACCCATTGAAACTTTCTGGCTTTTGACTGAATCTATGGCAGTAACTTAAGCAAGAAAACAGGATCAGTTTAAATTAATTTGACCATGCATCTAGTTTTGTCTTTGTAAGTCTCATTAGATTTTGGAGTAAATTACAGAATTTTGGTTGTTTTGCTGTGCAAGATAACAAAGTCATAGTTGGCTTCCATATTAGAGCAGAATAAACACTTGGCTTTCGAGGATGTTCTTGAATCGGCTGTGTAAATGACAATGAATGCTTGCTCCCTGGTCAAGAAGTTGGCAAGCTGTCTGGTAGCTCAAATTACTCAATTTAAAGGTCTCTCTCTCTCTCAAGCAAGCATATATATATATATATGCGTGCCTGTGTGTGTCTTTTATGAATTCTTGTGCTTGGAAGTAATGGTTCTGGCTACAAAACTAGCATTAGATGATTTACCAAAAGTCTGATGTTTGTAAAGGATTTCTGTTCTCTGCAAGATATGATATTTGCCACTTAGAATTATTAGTGCTACAATATATCGTGTGTAGTTGTTGTTTATCATGTTTATTGTATGGCACTCAGAAGAAATCCGTTTGGGCATTCGAATAATCATTTAATGGCGATTTAGAACAATCTCTAGGTTTTCGCTGAAGTTGCATGTTTAAGGGAGTTTACTTTGTGAAAATTTCAGCTTGCTGCAGGCTACTTTGTGACATTTATGCATGCAACAGACCCCTTACACGCCAGTGGAAGATAAGGAAATAGGCCCCCCCGAATGATTGCATGTTAAGAGATCTAAGGCTTCTTTGCCTGGTTGTGTAATTTCATGATGCCATCTTAGGGACAGTGGTGCAACAGGCGCGCACGCACGCACGCACGCACGTACACACAGACTCATTAAATGTAAAGTTTAACAGGTAACCCTCTGGGAACATACTAGTAGCAACTAACACTGTCAGTACATTTACTAATATGTCGCAGAACTGTAAGAAAAACTAAAACAAATAAGAGACGAACAATTAGAAAAAGGACATAATATATACAAAATGACTGAATGATTTCACAGTACAGATATAAAATATGTAGCTCGCATCTTTAAATTAACTTCAGAGTTCAGAACAACATTTTAGTGTGCTCCCTACTCTTTGCGCTCGGTACCATGTCATTGATCTCGAAGGTTTTCTTATTTGCTTTGAAGTTTCAATTTTCAATTTTACGTTTTTTGTTGCTTAATGCAGTATGTGTCAGTGGTTGATGCAGCATATATGTCTGTCCTGAATATACTAAATGTTAATCAGTACTTGAATGCTAGTTTCTCCTCGACCTGACTGACACTCTGCAGTACCTTTTGCTGCTCATCTGATGTGGCAGAGAATGTATGCTTCTAGAGTTCAGAAGAAAAAGTGACCAAGTAACTGTTTCTCTTGATTTCATTGCAGAAAACAGTGGTGTCAGTGGATCTACTCTGTTCAAAATGCAGAATGAAGGCCATGAAGCTAATATCAAAGATAGAAGGAATAAATTCTATTGTCCTTGACCCATCCAAAAGTAGAGTAACAGTTATTGGCGAGGCAGATCCAGTGTGCATTATCAGACAAGTCAGGAAGTTCAGAAGAACTGCACAAATAACAAGCATTGGTCCTCCCAAGGAAGAGAAGAAGGATGACAAGAAAGATGCGATTCCTTCTCTGCCAAAAACATGTCAGAGATGTGATGTTTGGTACGTGATTAGTGATGATTATGACGGCCACTGTAACATTCTATGAGCACTTCACGTGGGCCAACTTTCGTGAATCTTTATCAGGAACGATGATGCATCCATACTCCCTTGAGTCGGTAAGCTAAAGCAAGAGTCTAATGCCCCAGTCGTCGCCAAATTCTTTAGTTCTGATATTTTACGTTCTTTGAAGTCTTTCCTGTTTTTAGATGGTTTCTGCATTGGAACAATTAAGTGCTGCTTTGGAGATAATTTGGGTGGCTATTATCTGCTTAGCCTTCAACCTCTCGCTGTAACTTGCTTGGTTCGTTTCATTTCTTCTGCACTCTGCCTCCTTATGGCAGACGCTGAAAGGGGGATTGAGTTGTCCAGTATTTTCTCATAGGGGCGTTGTGGACAAGGTTTTAGTTTCCGCTCGCATTTTGCTGGTCTTGCGTTATGAACGTCCTTTTCTCGGTTTCTCACACGAGATAGTTTCCAGAATGCGACTTGTTTATCCTTTGCTCTCATTCTTTGCCCTTTAGTTTCTACTTTTCTTATTTGGAACACTTTTGTGGGAAAAGCAAATAACCCTTCCTTATATCCTAATGATGATGATGATGATGATGATGATGATTCCCCACCTTTCCACATTCACATTTCCTTTTCTTGTTATTCTGTTTTGTCTAGCCAAATAGTAGTAAAACTTTAAAGCTTTGCAAATAGTAGTAACATTTTTTTTTTAATTTTTTTTTTAATCTTTTCTGCGTGATGTACTTGCAACTAAATCTTACATGAATCGCCTCCAAGAAATGAAAACTACTCTAAATATATATCCCCATGAATTGATTAACACCCGACTATACAAAATTTTGGATGAACCCAAACGTCAACAGGACATAAATGCAACCACATTTCTCAAAGGAATGGCTGGATTGACCGTCGGTCAACTCCAATCATTTGTTATTTGCACTCCCAATCATTTGTTTTTTTTTAATTTATTTTAATAAACACTTTAAAGCACTAGATTTTGATCTTCAAAGTAAAGGATAGAGCATCTTTGCAAAACATGTAACTTCACTCCTGCTAGCTACCAAGAAAAGTTGAACCTATAGCGTCTCCATGATACAAAGAATCCTGTTCCAAGTTCGAATATTGCTCTTTATCTCCAAAATTATCCGCCATCGCTGTGAACTACCATGAACAGGAAAAGACATTTAAGTTGATAAGAGTGCAAGCCACAAAAAGATGGATAAGTAAACATGCCTTCGGAAATCATGGCCATTAAAATGGACAGAGGTCAAAAACCCTCTATCAGCGCAGAAGTATTAGGTTGGCATAACTGTCCTTGTTTTAAACCTGATCTAGAACCAGAGGAGCTAAAATTACAACAAGAAAATATAGAAACACTCACTCGAAATTAACTTATGAACAGGTCATGCCTCTGTTACGAATACCTCCAGAAGCTCCTTTAGTGTGAAACTATACTGCCATTCTCATTTCTATCTTCTGATGAGGATCATAGCCTATCAGCTCAAAGTCAGAAGCAACAAATGAATCTATGTCTTTTTTCTCCGGATTGATCTTCAAAATCTGTTTATATGAGGAATAGAATATCAAACCCTGGTTCAGAAAAGAAAGAGGAAATGCTATAGACTTTGTATTTGGGCAAAAGAACTAATGAGAGCACTGGCTAGATTCTTTAACTACAGAAAATCCATTGCCACAGTTTATCAAAACAAAAAACCTCATTATAGAAACTGAACCTCTCAATGAGGAGACAGAAAACCATCTTTTCTCCATGATTGAACAAAAATAAATCAGAATTCCAGATGAAATGCCAACAGCAAGTCACATATTCAGTTCAACATACAACGTGGTCAAGCAAGCTTAAGACATGGATAGTTACTCTTTGTGCTCGCACAGCAAGGGACATTTCAAGATATTAAACGTACTAAAAAGTATATTTACTTACTGGGAAAGGTTTAGGAAATTTCTGAAGCTGTTCTTGAAGAGGAACAACATAAGTCTTGTAAACATGAGCATCTCCTATTATATGGATGAAGTCACCAGGAACAAGGCCTTTTGGCAGAAATAAATATTAGAAACGGATTAGACTAAGTTCATTGGATGGATGAAGAAAATTCGACAGATAGATCATCAATCATCTAGCTAATCGGAAAATAATCTGAATAGCAGAAACATATAAGCATTCATGTAATGTTGATCCCTGAGTATGTAATCAAACACATACCACAAACATGAGCAATCATGCATGTCAAAAGAGCGTAAGATGCTATATTAAATGGCACGCCAAGGCCCATATCTGCAGAGCGTTGATACATTTGACAGGATAGTTCCCCATTTGCCACATAAAACTGCAACAGATTATTAGCAAAATTGATATAATAGGAACCAAAGTAGAAGTAAAAGCACACTGAGAAATTTTTTCTGGAGCGAGAAGCATGTTTCAACCTGTGCAAACATGTGACAAGGTGGTAAAGCCGTCAACTTCAAATCAGAAGGATTCCAGGCAGAAAGAACAATACGCCTATCGTTTGGGTTTCTCTTTATCCTATCAATGACATCTAACAACTGATCGAATCCTTGGCCTTTATAGTCGGCATGCATACCAGTGTATCTGTGAAAAACATTGTTCTCTAAATACTTCCCCATAAAAAGAACACAAGCTGCTGATAAGTCAGGATGTAACTGCTAACCGGGCACCAAAGTGTCTCCACTGAAACCCATAGATAGGTCCTAAATCACCCACTTCTCTGTCTTCCAGGTCAATACTGAAAGAACCCCACCAGGGATATTCATTAACTGCAGTGGAGTAAATACAGTAGGACTTGTTACAGATTTTAGTTACCTGTCAAGGTATTCTCTGGATGCATTGCCATCCCATATATGAATTCCCTTCTCCTGTAGAACCTGTAAACCACACAGATTCTTCAAGAACTTTTCTCTAAAATGGAGAGCACAAACGAGCACCTCTAAAATTTAAGCAGGTTAATTATCAAAACGTACAACACATGGTTTCTGTTTATTCATAAATGCGCTCAAGCAGTAACATGAGTAACATGGGTTAAAGTCTAGGGAGCCGAAATTTAGTTCATTAATTTTATCTTTCCACATATAAGGTACTTGATGGACCAAAAAGTGGGGAAAAAATTTGTGTCCCTAGTTGTAGACAGTTACTAAGGTGATTTACTTGCTTCAAAATGCAATTTGCATGGCCAAATGAATTCCAAAGCAGGAGACTTCTCCACCTTTCCAGAACAAAAGATAGGTAACAATGATCTTCATTCTCAAACAAACATATCTTTTCAATCTGGGGAAGGGGAGTGAAGGGTAAGCAATTCTGTGGGGGTTCATAAAAATTACTGTACTTTTTCTTGATAACAAGGCAATCTCTAATGGTCACCTTTGCATTTGTTGAACCACTGATGAACCATAGAAGCTCTTCGACAACACCTTGCCAGAATATTCTCTGTAGGATAAAAGTTCCATTAGCAGCATATAGGCAAAAAAATATTGATTGGACATTTAGGTATGAAAAAGGGCTTTAAGACTCTGGGGGGTAGAGGGGTGAGATAGTTTGATGAAGCTTGGACTGCAGGAAACAGCGTAAACCTCCTTAGAGTCCACATGGGGTCTCAAAGAGTACATAAACAAGAGTTTTGTAGATGGTAAGGAAAGACAAAAAATTCCTTTTGGTAGATAAAGATATGTTAAGAAACCAGAAGTAGAACCTACTTGTGCACTCCACGCACTTCAAAAACAAGTTAATAGCATCTAGCACAAATAGCAAAGTTTTGTCATTACCATATTCCATGCTAGCTTTGTTTAATTTCTAATGTTTCTTCTTAATGCACTTTCTGTAACTAGAACACGTAACATTAATACTCCTAAAATCAGTACAGAATCATTACCTTAGTAGTAAGAAGCGGAAAAGATCTACGCAAGTTAAATCGCATCTGTGAAATGTCCATAAATTAGAGTTGCAAATAACAAACTTCAACGTCACAAAATGGACATCAATCACTAGACAAATGGCTCCAGTAAGCAGGACAGAGAAGGCATCCCAGTACCTGGCAACCAAATTTTGAAAGGGTACCAGTTCCAGTTCGGTCATCTTTGTGGTTGCCAGTGGCAATAATATCTTGAACCAATCTCAAATACAAAAACTCATCATGCTTGTCAAAGACAGTCTTTGGCAAGAAAGAAAAACTTGAAACATTGAACCTCTTGGAATCTGAACTCCTATTAGACTTTGCCTGCTGGTGCAAATCAACAGGCTCAACTGCAGAACTCATCACACGAACATATGTCACAAAACAGTGCCGGATGTTATTTTCTACTGTAGGTGGGGAAGAGTACCAGGGCTGGAATAGTGAGCCATCAACTGGAGGAATAAAAGCGTCACATTCAATGTCTGCCTCAATTACAGTCATGTGTATGGCTTCACATTCCGGTGCATTAAGCGCTTCCCTGAATCAAAATCACAAACACTTTATGGTCTCTTAACCCCCCAAAAAAAAATTAAAAGATAACCAAAGGCATATGCACCTTAGTATTTGTCCACCTCCTATTACAAAAACTTTTTCTACTGAGGAACAATATGGAGATTCTGCAAGCAATTCTAAAGCAGATGAAATGCTCCCACAACAGACAACATTATCATCAATAGCAGGGCCAAGGCTCCCTGAACGAGTCAGCACAATGTTGAGACGACCAGGCAGAGGTCGAAATTGTGGAGGAATACTTTCCCAAGTTTTCCTTCCCATGACAACTGCATTCCTCTTCACAGGATCTGTAGTAGTTACCGTAATCTCCTTGAAGAATTTAAGATCAGAAGGCAACCTCCATGGTAACTTGCCATCTTTTCCAATACCAAGATCACGAGTTGCAGCCACTACAACTTGGTAACTCCTCAGAGAAAGAGGCTTAATACGTGCATCACCATCAGAGCGACACATGTGAGAATCTGCACTCATATCAAAAAGTTCTCGCCAAGTTGTGTGCCTAGCAGACACCTTAGAAATGTCTGAAAAACTTAAAGGTAGAGTCGGCACTGTACTGATAAAGAAGTGATGCCAATTAATGCTTGTTATAACCTGAAAATAATAAAGAGGCAAGATGTTTCATGCAAATCACAATTGACACCCAAATCGAAAAGCCAATTCACCAGAACTAATGCTGCCCTACATTACTAATACAAATAGGCACATTTGAATAAAAAATGAGAAGTCCCTTGCACATCATTGAACTCTAAATCACAGTCTATGAAGGGCAAGGGGACGGCGGGTTAAATAGTTGTCCATATCACATTAGATTAGAAGAATAGAAAAAAGGAGCCGAAGAAGTCAAGACCTTTCCTTTCTGTTTGATTTGGTCATCCAAAACTGTACAGACGGACAAACTCTCATGCTAGATGAGATCCTCGAAACCAGCAAGCGGAAAACTGCCATTTTTCAGGACATTAAGTAGAGCTTTTCTATTGCAAATCCCCAAACTATATCTCTTCTGCCAGCACTATCTTGCTCAACACCTACTGCATTGCTCCTGTCCCAAAAGGCCGCTTGTACACTATACCACAAAAAAGGGGGAAAACAAAAACTCTCAGATTGGAATTTCCATAATAGAACCTGGAAAAATGGTGATAGAAGCAAATAGGAGAAAACTCCACTTCCCTGTCTATGCTTTCATATTCAATTTCTCAGTCTTCAGCAGATTCCCAGGGGAAAATGTGAAACTAACAATAAAACAGCGAAACAAAATGGACTTTACAGCAAAACTTGCTACTTTGACATCCCTAAGCCTGAACAAAAGGAGCTCAAAACTCGTACAAGATGGAAAAAGCATATTCCAAAGGGGTTTTATTTATTCCGTTTTATTATCATTTTGTGATTCTTCACTATAACGGTGGTTGACAGATAGAACCCTATCTTGGATGCTTTATCAAAATAGAAGCAAAAGCACAAAACAAAAGTGCGAGTAGAACTACAATATCATGCAAAATGGTAGAAGAAATCCAACCTGCAACCGCAAGAGTGAATAAATAGCTCGAAAGAATCTTGGAACGAAAAAGAGGATCCCTGTGTCTGGTGAAGATTCTCAGGTTGCTGACGAATGAAATGCGCGGAAAAGATCTATAGGATGAAACTCGATGGAAACGGACAAGAGCAACCACGCTTTTGCTGGGAAAGTAAATTCGATATTTCCACCAAAAAAAGAAAAGGACTTTCGGCATTTCCACCCAATCATTATTATTTATACGGTAAAAATTGGATAGATTCCATCTATATTCTATAGTCACTAGGATCTCCTAAAAAAATTTGCTAATTTCATCGAGTGGGTCAAAATGGCCAGTTAATTTATATATATAGTGATAGGTGATCTTACTAGTGTTGAGAACTAGTGATCGACACACATTGATATGTGTATAAGTGATTTAAAAAATCTTCTGATGAACTAATGATTGTAGATTCATTATTGAGCGAATTATCAAGATGGCCACTAAATTTTTGAATCATTGGTTTGTTTGGATAGAGGATTATTTGTCAAAATTTATTTGCTTACATCATCATTACAATTTCAAACACACCTTTTTATCTTTCTAATTATCTTTTTATCTTACATACATCACATCATAAAAAGTGTTACAGTAAAAATATCTCGAATAATTTACAATCCAAATAATTGAGTTTTGACTATTGAACTATTAAAAGTCTAATTTTGTCACTAAACTTTTGAAATTTAGATTTCGAGATATTTCGTCAGATTTAATCGTTAATCATGCCTCTTATTTTTGTCTCGTGAATTGTACGGACACTCAAATTTGACATAGTTAACGATTAAATTTAATGAAATGACTCGAATTATAAACTTTAAATAGTTCAGTGAACAAAACCAGTCATTTAATAGTTCAGTGATCAAAACTCAACAATTCTAAAAGTTTAGTGGTCATCCGAATAATTTGCTCTTCATTATTTGACAACAAAATCTAGTAGTAGTAAATTAAAAAAGTTAGCAGAAAAAATTATAAAAATTAAATCAAACAATTATCTATAAGCGGTTATGTTTAACTGATAAACACCTATTTCATTGGTCAGTTGAACTAATGTTTGTAGATTTATTATTTGACAACAAAATCTAGTAATAGCAAATTAAAAAAAGGTAATGCAGAAAAATTATAAAAATCAAACGAAAATTTAAATCAAGCAATTATCTATAAAGCGATTATGTTTAACAGATAAACACCTATTTTATTGGTTGAGTGGTATTAGTTGTTGAGTTAAAATGGGTTAGCGATGAGAACTAATTTGATGAGTCAAAAAGAAATTTTAAAAAATGACATCGAATTGTTTACACCAAATCACCTACTCCTACTTTATTATTATGGAGATAGTTTCATTCTAAGTTTTGAATGTTAAATTTCATGGAGATTGGCCTATTTTGAAGTCGTAGAGTGCACCATCTTCAATTTCCTTTTCAATTTTTTTAGTAGAAGAAATGTGATATTGAAAATTACTTGAGTAGTTTGAATGGTCAAGATATGACCAATCAACTACTGATAGTATGTTTTTACCCACTAAAGTATCAAATGTGTAAATCTTGAATCATTCCATCTTATTCCACCGTTACTTCTACCGGATCTGTTTTTACCCACTAAAGTATCAAATGTGTAAATCTTGAATCATTCCATCTTATTCCACCGTTACTTCTACCGGATATAAAGATCCGCATGATTTACGAGATATACTATTAATAGTTAAATCTTACATACTATTAATAGTTGAGTGGCTAAAAGTCAATTATCCAAAATATTTAAATGGCTACCCAAATAATTTGCTCAATGAATTTACCAAACTTGAAGGTGGAAGGTGAAACCTTAGATTGGAAGTCAAGGAAAAATGTTTTGATACAAAATTTTGATCAAGAAATGGTATACGTCAGATTCCATTCCTTTATGCCTCTCACGATTTTTGGCTGCATGTGAAGGCTTCAACTCCCTTGAAAGAAATATGTTTAAGTTGATTAGTAGTAAAATGACCTTATTAATTGGATTCAATTTAGAACAGAAAGCTCTAAGGCAAATTGCTGAAGTTGTTTTATTTGAAGATCATATAAGAAGGGGTAGAGCAGGGGACAAAGTTTGATGAGCTTCTGACCCTGAAACACATCGTAGTTCTATACAATTAATGACATTAGGCAAAAGAATTACAAACAATTTCAATGTGGAAGTGAGTACAATGAACAAACAGATGTTTGCTCATCTAATGCTTATACATATCAAAGAATCTGGGATAATAATGAACTCTCCAGACTAACCACCAAGCTCCAGCTTATCCACATATCTCAGTTTTTTATCGTTTCAGCAATCCATTCAATCTTTCTTTACTCTGGTACCATCTCTTCAGCAACTGACTTCTTCACAAACAGCAGTTGCCACTAAATCTGGATATTTTTGTGCTAATGCAATATCCTCATCTTCAGATTCTGACTGAGCTATGGATTTATCACTAAATCTTACCTGGCCAACAAACAAAAGAGATTCAGATTTTCACACAAGGAATAAATCTTTAAAGGTAAGAACGGAAAGGGAAAGAAGCAGATATGAGGGTGAAACTAAACGTACGAAATGTAACTTGTCATCACCCCGCTTCCCTTTACAATTTGACATGAATTCGTGAATGGAATACTTTGCTTCACCGCTCAAAAGCGCCTGCATTATTAACATGGTCACATTGATTGAAGACGTAAAACTTTACGAAAATGCTGCAGAGAAGTTAATATCAGGAGCAGTTTTATTGCTGACATGCTTCTTGGCTTATTCCTCACCTTCACTATATTTTGGTCTTTCCATGGCCCTTTATCTGATCGCAAACAACCTCCCTCATTTGCGCAGGTACAGCTCCCGCCAAGAAAGTCTGGCAACTCGCTGATATATGATACTACAATCAGTTTTGGTGCCATTAGGATTTAATGAAGAGCTCAAAGAATCAAAATCAACCATAATCACCTCTGATCAACAAATTCAAGCAATGCGCTCTTGTAATTTGTGCCAAGAACCTAATAGGGTAGAAAACAATTGGTCAGTGTTCTATAGAATGTAAAATTTGAGATTTTTATTTTGAAACATTCTGAACATACATTAATCTTGGAAGCAGTATTCGGGTCAAGAAAGGGCCTTATTGCACTCCAAACAAGCCTAAAGCCAGGGCCAGCATTAATGATGAACAGTCTATGAAGAGTCTGCAAGTTGATTCAGAAATATCATGGTCAAGGATAATATTCCTATGTTAAGTCCAAGATCATACAAGACAGCTTGAAGTTGTCCCAAGATGCAGGAAATATATACTTCAGGATAATTGTCATTGTCAATCTTCTGCAACCGCATAATGACTTCCCTCGCAGGTTTAATCAAATTTTTTAAACCCTGAATGATTAAACAAGAAGGAAAAGAGCTCAATCATACAGCTCCACATCAAAGACACCAGAAGATGAATGCTACACAGGAAAAGCGGAAGAACAGTACCACGCCTTGAACATCTAAAATCGTCATACTTGCATCTATGTACTTGTTTGCAGCTATTGAGCAAGCAGGAAGTCTAACGGAAAGAGTCTTCTCGAACTCTTGAACATGATATTTCACATACCGATCTGAGGTAGTTACTTGCATAAGCTTGTACATGTCAACCTTTCCCAACCTTTCAATGTAAATTGGTCTTCCTTCCTTATCTACACCATGATAACACTGAGGGTAGTACAGCAGAACTTCGTCTAACTCATTGAAGTGAAAATCCTGAAGATGATAAAGCACATATATAATAGCAACCAAAGAATTGACGAGCAGCCACAGTTACAAAATCTTACTTTTTCTAAACCTCCTTCACTAGAAATTTAGGCAGCCATCTAATGTGTCTTATTGCTCAATGATCATGTTGTTCTACAAGGTAATTAAATCCCTACTGTCTTACAAACCAAGTTTGATGAAGTTGGTACACGTAAGTAACAAGCTACTTTTGTTGGCTGCCCCATTAGACTATGAGAAAAATACAGAGCTTAAAGAGACCATTCTAGATTAGATGACTTGTCTGAGGAGGGAAAGGGGTAAAGAAAAAAAGGCCAAAACCAATATCAGTATGAGAAAAAAGTTGAGATTACCTCCAAGATTGTATCTGCACCAAAATCTTTTCTCCATCGGAGCATGTCTGACCACATGCATTTTGCTTTCTCAATGTTAAACTTCCTGGCTTTCAAAAATCTGCAAGCAATTAGTTCTTTTAACATTTCCATCTATGTGAAATCTTACATCAGTTTACCAATTGGCAATTACTTTACAGAGTCTGCATGATCAAGAAATCCAAACTGAAGGAAAAGCATTCTGCTAACTATTATGTAAGTTGAAAAAATTACCTCAGCATCATATGATTGTCATCATGCCGTGAAGGCAGCAAGTTGTCAAGGATAAGCGCTTGTCGAAAAGTATGAACAGCCATTGGCTCCTCAATATCCCTTACATCCTCGCTATCAGCTACTCGAATACCACTGATTGTACTCTCAGCCTGCTGAAGAGAACATTCCTTATCGGACATGTTTCTGGCTTGCTTCTTCGTTTTCTTCTTTTAAGACTAGGAACCTTGACTTATGTTCACTTTATTCATCAGAATCACGATTCACAAAGCCCTTCACAACCCGTTAATGAATCAAACATTTCATTACAAGGATGACTGACCAGTATAACAAACGGAGAACATTAAAAGACACGTACAACACAGAGTAACCGCTAAGAATATCATATCCAAAAACTATGTCGCAGCCTTTTTGGATGGCAGACCAGTATAACAAAAGGAGAACACTAAAAGACTCGTACAAATCCTGGCTTTCTTTGTTCCATGCTCCCTAATCAACTCAAAATTGCTACAGCTTGAATTCCCAACTCAATTCTCCAAGAAAGCAGAATTGCATGAAAGAGCTCGATGTCTCTTTTTTTAACCATTTCAGGATCGATAAGTAAGCGAATAACTTTCTTTTTGTTTCAACTCATGAAAGCCTGTTACAGAACACCCATACATTATGTCTCACACAAGCATCATTTAATCTATTTAAAGTTCTTTCACGCAATACATAATTTCCCCAGGAGAGACTCTATGGAAAATGTAACTAAACTCTTATTCACCATAGAATAGGTCAAATACAACGAGAATGCCGTACAAGTTTTTTTTTGAAAATATTTAAAAA